TGCTGGTTCAGTCTATTCCATTTTCTTGTAGGCTTCGTTGAGACAATGGACAAAACTACAGCATATAGCTATCAGAGCTAATTGAAGCTGTTTTCTTCCTGAAAAATGCTCAACCTTAATATAGGCATGTGCAGTTTTCTGCTGTTGGACTTTGTGTCCAGTGGTGAAGTGTCAGTGTTGTATGCTAGCTGAGAACGCATCAGAAGAAAAATCAACAGGAAAACCAGGAGCAGGGTGTAAGAAAGGGAAAAATATCTATTCCATTCCAAAATCAGTCATAACAATTTCTGTTCACATCAGAAAAAATTGCCAGTCAGAATGGATAGACATCCCTACCTATACTAACAAAGATATGATATCCTGTTAGATGTCACAGATCGTCCTAGTTTATTTTGGCAGTTGTGCACCTTGGTATTTTTCACTTAAACAAGACCATATCGATACAGTACAGTGAGCATGCCTCAAGCTCCAGGTTCACAGTTCACGTGCTTCTGTGACTTTGAACTCTTCTTTTCCTGAGTACCAGCAGACAGCTGCACCAGAACAGATATGTTTACATATGGGGAGCTCAGAGTTTCCATTTCCTTTTACATTGTTCAGGAATTCAGACTCACAGTTCTTGTCCTAAAGCTTCACCTCATGTGTATGCATCTGACTTAGCCCTTTACAGTACAAGTGTTTTGTTTTGACATTGATTTGTTGATAGAAAGTGCTGACTAGGGAGAAGTTACTTTCACTAGAAGTTGGTCTCAGTTTACATGAAATTTGATTGTCAAGGAAATAACCTTAAAAAGGGGAAAAATAAAAATTCTGAAATCACTTTCTCTAAGGGTTTTAAGAAGTGGGTAAAAGTGAAGCTACTATAGGACTGCTTTGTGTAGATATAGCACAATATATGTATTTTTGGTGGAGAAAAAATTACGTATTTTATTAGGCATGGCTGTGAAATCTAATTAGCTGCTTAAGCCATGACACTGAGTATTTAAGCTGTTGTTGTGCTTAAAGTGATAAAGTATTCCCAGATGTGTTCAGCATGGCGGTAATTCTATCAAGAGATTCTGGTAATTACAAACAAGAAACAAAACCATCAGAGTGATCTGTTCATTTGCCTGAACTCTAAAGTAGAATTAAAGACTTCAGCCAACAATATAAATTGCGCAGAGAGGAAATCCTTGCTCTGAGGATTTTGTGCTGCCGGCAGACTTCATCACCTCTTTTGCCCAGTTCCACATTTGTTAGCTTTTACTTTTGCTTTCATACCTAATTTGCATGTTTGGGATTCTTATTGTGAAGGAAAGCTGTGGTCTATTGGTTATTTTGGTAGTTGAATTGGATCAAGTAGATGTTGTGAAAGTGTTCTGTAGAAAGCTCTGTAGCTGCTGTTGTGTTTTGCATACTGTTATTTTGAAACAAGATCCCATGAGTTACTCTGATGTGTGAGAATGAGCTTAGCTTTTGGTTGCCCTCATATGCATCTTCTACCAGAAGAAATTACTTGAACTTACTGGAATGTTTTGATTGAACTTATTTCCGATATTTATTTCTGATTGAATTTGTTTCTGAGGATGTGTAGGTGTGTGTATTAATTGCTAAATTTCACCTATGGGCCATGATGTAAAGTAACCTCATGGTAGTGTGCTTCCAATACATGTAATGTTAATTTTTGTCATTCTGACATTCACTGTGATACTTACGCACTCTATGTGACCATGTAGCGAGACAATCCAGAGAGCTGTAAAGGCTGAAAGTTATGCCCAGAAATTAATTTTTTAATACTGTCTAAATCATTGCCCAGACTTCGTGCAAGGGGGAGATTTGCAACAGAAGGCAAGACCTGGGAACATAGCAGCCCTGAGCTTCGTTGGCTATGTTGCGTTAGGATTGCTGTCTCAGGCAAACACTGAACTGCAATTACCTGTGTTTTTCCTCTGGGCTTGCTGGAGGTGAATCTTTTACCCCTTTACTTTCATCACAATTACTGTGCTTGTCAAGAAGAAATCAAAGCAAGCAATTCATGTCATGCCAGCATCCTTGTCTCTGTTACAACAAGCCTCCTGCAATACAGCAATCTGGGCAGCAGAGCTTTAGGGGGACCTCAGGGGACAGGGCAATGGGATGCTGATGCTGGGTGGCTGGGGTGTGTTGCATGGCATGATGTGGGAGCTTCACACCCAGAATTCAACCACTACAATTGGTGAGATACCTGTGCTCTTAGTTGTCTGATGTACTTTGAGAAGTACACAGAAGAGACTATCATTCTTAAAGACAATTATAAAATAATTAAAAACAATAGCAAAAAAACAACCCTGTTCAGACATGCAGTAGGAGTTGCATCATAAACTTTCCTTTAGATGAGGTATATTTTATCAAATTTTTGCTTCTGCTTTGATAGATGTTGGTTCCCAAAATCTTCATCAGAACACATAAAAACTGTGATTACCTCCTCTTCAAAAGTCATATGCAAGAAATTATAACATGAACAAAAGAACCCATGTATTACTTTGCACGCCTCTTCTTTCATTTAAAATCATTAGCTGTTTTATCTCACAAACCCTGGATATAGATCAGCTTGATGCTTCCACTTGATGATCTGTGTTTTTCATTGTTGCTTTAATTTGAAAGCAGGAAACAGTATGAAAGTAGTTGTATTAGGTGTTTCAGCACAAAGATTTTAAAATATAATAGCTTGGCGTATTACTCCATCTTCTCCCTATTCCTCTGAGGAAATAAAATGGACTTAGTAGCTTTAATCCAGGCAGCTTTTATACTGCATCCTATTTCCTTCCTCGCATTTGAGAAAGCACTGACTTTTCTCTCCAAATTGAGAAATCGTGTTCACAGCGGTCATTCTGGTCACTTTGCTGAACACCCATGTTGTGTTCATTTTTCCAGTGCTGGGTTGTTTGTATACATCAAGTTTAGGCAAGTCTGCATTTTGCCCTCCATATCAAAGGAAAGCATCACAAAGCATCAAGATATATATATGTAGAGCTAAGCGGATAAATTGTCTTGGTGTTTGCCCAGGCTTTTGGGGCTGTGTGAAGAGAGTCTGCACCTTGTTGGAGCCCTGAAGTGCTGCATGTGCCATTCTGGCTATCCCTGCTTTTTGCTTTCTGAAAGGTAGAGAAAGGGGAATCCCAAGTCTAAAGAAAACTGGCACTTGTAAAAGCTTGTCATGGATTAAGTTCCTGGAAACTTTGCTTGAAAATGTTAGGAGACTGCTGCGTGTATATGCTGGCAACATCTGTAAGAGACAAATTATTTTCCCACCCTCTCAAGTACTTGGTAGTTTATCTGTTGTTTATATTAAAGATGGACTGTGCTTATATATTCCTGACAGAGCTCTCATTAATCACCTTGTGCATTGTAAGAGAATGGAAGAGAAGAATGGAGGTTACTGGAAAGCAGACATGTGATCAGTCCTGACATTAGCTTCGCTGTTGTGTTTGTGTAACTACTTTTGTTGTTGTTGTTGCTTTTGTGTTTGATGTGTCTATTTTTTCAGGGCTATTCAGAAAAAAAAGATAATACATTTATTACAGTGTTGTTGGGGGATGTAATTGCTGTGTCTCAAGAAATTTCTGCCCTCCCCATGCCCACTCTCCTTTTTCCTTTTTTTTTTTTTGACTCTTGTTTCCTTCCCCAGCCCCAATGGTTTCCTCCATCGGAGCAGAGCCTTGCAGGCCCTTGTTTCAGCCTGTGTCAAGCAAAGGCCTGGAAGGGGCTGGTGGCATGAAGACAAATGCACTAAAGCTTGAGCTTTGAAAAGCCTGTCAGCTGCCAACAGAGAGACCTTCTACCACAGCAGCAGTGCTGGTCTGGAAGCATCTTCCTTGGCCCTGCCAAAAGCTTCCAGCCCTAAAGAGATCAGGCAGTTGCTTGTGATTCCTTTCAAAGCATGGGAATACAGCTGCTGGCAAGGGGGAAAGGCTGAAGATGAGTTCTCTGAGTTTTGCATGCTGATGAGGGTTTGGGTTTATGAGGACACATTATTTGCCCTGCTTGGAGTCAGGTCCAGGAGCCTCTGGAGCATATATTTAACCACTCTGGCCTGTCTATTTGAAAGCCCCTTCACACCTTCCAGAAGCATGCTTTAATCCCATGTCCTCAGTGTCCTAGAGGGAAATTTCCTAGAGGGAAATAGTTACAAGTGGAAATTTTTCAGCCTAATTCCTTGAATTTCTGAATTGCTGTATGCTTATGTTTGCCTAATAAGAACAATTTTTGGGGATCTCAAAAGAGGCAATTGAAGTAATTGATATTTGACAAACTAGAGCAAATTAGCTCTGAAGAGATTGTCATTTAATACAGATTATCTTCTATTTTATCTCTGTTTCTGCTAAAAATACTTTGTTTGGCATATCCAAATTCTGCACAGATTTTTTCTCGTGTCAAACTAAATTAATGTCTGGCAGCTCATTAGTGCAAGGTCCTCTTAGAGAACTCACTTTTTAATAATAGAGAAAAAAGACTGATACATGACTGTAGATGCTGGTTAGTGTTTATAATGAAACATCCATTCCACAAAAGAAAGAGATGACCAAAAGTTCAGCAAATCCAGTGGAATTTAGATCAGTTTGTTGTAGTGGAAGCATATATTCAGTGAAATCAAAGGAGAAGAAGTAATGTAAGGAAGACAAATATATGAATTTTCAAACATTTTAAATAAATTTGATTATACAGAAATAGCCATTTTGGTGAGCTAGATATTTGTAAAAGACTTTGATGTAAATTGAACTGATTGCTTGTATTTCTCCCCCCCATGTAACTACTTTTGGTGGCATATTGTACATATCAAGAATAATAGAATTTATTTCTGAGTTGGGAATAGTTTTTTAATCAGATTCAGTAATATAAATAGACCTCTATTTGAAAGTTTATCCAAAAATGAATGCTGGTGTATATTTAAAAGCGCTGTATGGTAACGTAGAAGTATCTCCCCACGGTTAACCAAAAGCATGTTTTATGTGTGGTTTTGTTTTGTTTTTAATGTTTAACAGTAACTGAAGCTGGCTTTGGTGCTGACATTGGGATGGAGAAATTCTTCAACATCAAATGCAGAGCCTCTGGCTTGGTTCCCAGTGTGGTTGTACTTGTTGCTACAGTGAGGGCTTTGAAGATGCATGGAGGTGGGCCAAGTGTAAGTTTGTCACCTTTCTTTGAAGACAAAATCATTGGTAAAGTTTGAAATATGTGAAATATCTTCATTTAAGAAATAATAGGGATAGTTTGCAGAGCACTAATTAGATATAGTCTCCAATTTAGCTCACTGCATAGTTGTTGTCTACAAAGGCACTTCAGGAATGGAAAGGCGTAAATGAAAGAGGAGGAATGAATGTTCTGAAGAAGTACTACATTTTTTAAGAGGAGGAAGTGTGGTTGTATGGAGGGGAAAAAAAGCTAAGAAATGTATACTTTTTCTTTTCCCTGCACATTGAAATAGTGTTTCTAGGTGCACTGAAGTAGTCACAAGATGAAAGGTTGGCAGATAAGGAGGAACAAGAAGAGAGTTCACACTGTAGTGCATGAATGGAACTAGGGAATGTTAATGAAGGTTTTGAGATTTCTTTTGCTGCAATCACGGGAACCCATTCTGTCCTTTTAGTCTGCTCAGGGGATGCTAAAGTAACTGAAGCAAGTGTGCAAGTGTTTCCCCGGTGTACCCAAAGTCAGCAATGTATCAATTTTTGCTCTTCAAGCCAAGGTGACACTTGTATAGATTACTTACTCCAAGGTCATGTAATTAAGATGAACTCTGCTAGCCAAACAGACAGACAATAAACTCCTAAAAATACTGTTCTGCTCAGCAGCGTGGAAGAGAATCATGCTGCTAGGAAAACAATCTGAGTAAAAATTCTAGAACTTCTTTCACAGCCACAAAACTGTGGACTGTGTGGTCATTTTTATAGCAAATCCTCTCATAGAACAGAGATTTCCCTTTTTCAGTCTTTAAAGTTGGCATAATTTTATAACTTTCTATTATTTTAGACCACTTCTAATGCAAATTTTGTTTATTTTAAAATAAATATTAAAATAATTTGTTTTTATACATGAAGGAACATTTCTTGTGCTTTATCACTCAGTCTAGCAAATACTTGAATGACTTTTTAGTGATCTCTATTTTTGAGTAGAGATTTCAGTTATGTAATACATCATAGCAGCACGCAGAGTGGTGGATACTTTAACTGTAGCTTAACTGTAAAATGGATCAAGACCAATGCCTGGGGCAAAAGTGACCAAGTCCAATCTGTTTGGCTCCAGTCATACTCTATATCTGTATACCTTCTTGCTTCTCAGCAAAGAAAATTACTTACATGCAATTTCTTGCTATTGTCAATAATTACATCACCCCCAGAGAAGATGTGAGATGTTCCTCTTCAGACTGTCTATGTTAGATATTCCTTTAGCCAGCTGTTGGAAGTTGTTTTCCATTGTCTTTGCATTGCTCGTGCATTATTAAGCATGTAGAACAGGGTTATATAGAGTCATAGAATCATAGAATGGCCTGGGTTGAAAAGGACCACAATGATCATCTAGTTTCAACCCCCCTGCTATGTGCAGGGTCGCACCCACTACCTTGGTGTTACGTTGTCCAATAAATCTTCTACAACTAGTTGCTGAGTCTTGCTGTTTTAGATGCAATGGGAGGTTTTGCTACTCTCCTTGTATCAGTTTAACTTCTAATAAAATAGAGGCTCCAATCAAACTGTGACATTTGTGCAATATTTATACTTTCAGGTGGTATAGAAAATAAGCAAAAGTGCACTTCCTACTGTTTAGAGTTATGATATATTTTGTTAAATCTATGATGACTTCAATTACCATTGCAGGTATCTGCTGGTGCCCCTCTGAAAAAGGAATACACAGAAGAGGTAAGGGGAAATTTTATAAAGCTTTTGGAGAAGCCTAGGATTTGACTATAACATGCTGTAATACTAACACTCAGTAAATACTTTTAATGAGCATTGCCAACAATTAAAGCCTTTTAAACTTTCCCCAGACACTTGGTGTTATCCTTCTTGTGTGTGCTGTGTGTGTGACTGCATGTTAGATTGTACTGAGGAACTGAACCAGATGAAATATAACTTTTCAGTAAATTTTCCAGCACCATTAAGTTTTCAGACTGACTAGCTCTTCATTCTAGTCCATCAGGTAGCCTCAAGCAGTTCTGGCATTCATGGCAGTGTAAGGGCCAAGTGGGGCAGGGATCAAAGACACTCTCTGAAATTCATGGCAGCTTAGCTCTTTCGTTAAACAGCAGATTGAGTATGACCTTGGCAATCACTCTTCAAACAAGAGTGGATTCTTCAGGTTTGTTTTCTTTGTCTCTTTGTTGTCCTCTGGTGTTTTAACATCCACACCCTTATGACCAGTTTTGGCACATCTGTGTCCATGGTATTTCTGGGAATCTCTAGGGAAGCTTTTGGTCAGACTAGAAAGGGAAGTGGAATAGGCCTATGTGAACCTGCCCACAGACCATTTTTTGGTATAATTTGTATCAATTGACAGCCTGCCATCAGCTGCACTGTCTTCTCATGTCCCAGAAAAAAGCAATGCAATCATGTACAAATTTTGAATGTTGTGTAGACACTTAATTATGTCTGATACTTATTAATTTAAATAAGAATTAATAAGTACCAAAATGCTTTTGTCTGGAAGCATTCTACTTGCCCACAACTGTCATGATCAGCACTGTTTATGTTTTAAGTTTAATTTATGGAAAATTCTTTGGCTGGAGCTGGCTTGATGTATCTGACCATTTCTATTACTTTGTATTTAATTGCATAGAACCTCCAGCTGGTAGCTGATGGCTGCTGTAATCTTCAGAAACAGATCCAGATTGCTCAGCTCTTTGGGGTTCCCGTTGTGGTTGCTCTAAATGTCTTCAAGTAAGTTATTTTTTCATTACTCTCATAAGTAAATCCACAGATCAAATTTCACACTTTTTTTTCTTGATTTGTGAATGAAGCAGCTTTGGCACGAAGAAAAGTAACCGTTGAAGAATTATTATTAATTTCCATCATTAATATCCTTTGAATCCTTAGACTGTTCTTAAGGTTTAAAATGACAAAAGGTATATAATGTTATGGAGGTATCAATGTTCATGTTAATCAGTTACAACAATTTTAATAAGTGTTCTTGGAATGTAAATTCATATGCTGTATGTAAATGTGCTGTGTATATGTAAACTTATTTAAAAATTTGCTGTACAACTGCTGATACAGAGTAAGGCTAAGTGTGTAAGCTCATAAAATAGAAGTAATTAAACAAAACAGAACTGTTTGGTTGGCAGAACTGACTCGCCTGCTGAAGTTGATCTTGTGTGTAAGATTGCAAAGCAGTCTGGAGCATTTGATGCTGTACCCTGCAATCACTGGTCGGATGGTGGTAGAGGAGCAATAGAATTAGCTCAAGCTGTGGAAAAGGCAGCCAATCAGAAAAGCAGTTTCAAATATCTCTACAGCTTGGAGGTAAGTTTATTTTATTTTAATGAATGCATGCTGCATTGATATTGGATTTAAAACAAGAACATTGCAACAAAGCTATCCAGCATGCTTGGAAAGCAGCTTGGCTTGGCTTAAAATCACAATGACAGGAGAGAATGAGCAATCTGCTGCTTGTCTGATCAATAGAGGAGAATATTTGTAGTGCTCATTACTTAGGGCATTAAATCATATTTTGTAAGCTTATATTTAGCATAAAAATATATCTGTAGGTAGAACTTCCACAGCTATTGTAGGAGACTTCACAAAGACCTTGTATGATGATTTTCTTGACATTCACCTGTAATTATATTTACTGTCTCACAATTATGGGTAGTGCAGTGATTTTTGATTCTCTGAAGCAATTCATACCCTGTAAGAGATGCTAGAGCATGTATGCACTACACATTTGTCCAGGCACAGAGGCTAACACAGAAGCACTGTCTTCACCAGCACCCAGCTGCATGCACACAGCACTCAGGTGAACAGCCTGAGTGACTTGATCATGCTGCTCCCATTCTGCTGGTCAGGACTAGAGCCTACTGGTGCAATACAGTCAACAATGTTGAATAAATAAATAAATAAATAAATAAATAAATAAAAATGTGTTGCAGTACAACACATGGGTCACTCTTGCTGTTGGCACTGGGCCCTCAGCCTATCTAGCAGTAGCCTTGACCTCTACCCTGCTCCCACTGCTGTCACCAGCACCCAGGAGCCTCTGGGGCTCGCAGCTCAGCCAGCTGCTGGCACACACAGCTTTGCTCCTGTTCTCCCCTTCAAAAACCCCACATTTATTAATTTTTTTAAAGTTTTATTTGGTCCCAAAGTGCTACTCTTGCTGTGTCCCATAATGAGTCCTGTACTTCTGTCTCCCCTTTATTTTGTGAAGTTTTAGGAGGAAAAACATCTTCCCATTGACTCATCTGTGTTGGTTTCTCAGCAGGGACCATGGTGGCATATCCTACCCTTTGGTCTTAGGAAACGATTCATTCACAGTGCTCTAATTTTCACTGATTAGGTTTTCTCACAAATTATATCACTAGGGTTCCACCTGTCATTGATTATTCCTCTGATCCTTGCCTGGGCTTTGTGTTTAACATGCATAGCTGTTAGATAACCTAACAAAGCATAGCATGGTCGAGGTTTCGGTTCCGTGTCTGATGGAGATGATGCTCTATCCATGCCTGGGAGTCTTCATTATTGCAGTCCTCTGTAAAGTAACATCACAACAAGGTGAGCGTGTCAGGAAGAGCAGCTTGCAAGGGAGGACTGCCTGAATCCCCAGTAGCTCTGCTCTGGATGTATTACCACAATGCAGGCAGAAAGTGTATAGGGACTTACTGCCTAGAAAGTTGCACAACCAATTTTAGTCCTTCCTAGCTATGCAGAGAAGGGTTGTTTCAAATTTGGGTAGCAAAATAGATTTCTCTAGCACCAAGGAAGCTCTTATCAAATTTCAGATCCTATGCCCCAGTTGTCAGTGCTACTTATTTTCTTTAGGAAAATTGAGGGTTATGTTTTAACAGTAGAACCTCTGCTTCTTTCTTTTTAAGTGGCTGAAAGTTTCTGTTTTGATTCTACTTGCTAGTAAAAAAGTTCAGCCAGAGGTAGATACGCCCTGCTTTTCGGTTTGTCTCCTTCTTGATACATATTACGTAACTGTTGCACCCGTTTTATTTCTTCTCTTCATCTCTCCTACTGTTTTCACAAACATCAATCTAGCCGACTCTTATTAGTGTTATAAACTGCTTTCATGGAATCAATGGTAGTAACTTGGGATTTTAATGGCTATGGAATCTATTCAGGGCCTATTGCCCATGGAAACTTTTTATAGCCAAATTGTACAATGTTTCTGTCTTTCTGAGTTTGTCCCCAATGAGATGCACTGGAAACTAAGCATATCATTTTATGATCTTTGAATAATAATATATATATATATATATATATATATTTGAAGTTTAATTCAGAAATACATGTTATACTTTTCCCACAGGACACTTGTGTTACAGAGATAGTATGTTAGCATTTGATGAAAATATTTAAGCTCCTATATTCTAAATAGGTAAGAATCTTGTGATATGAGTGAGTAGAAATGATTAGCAGGGCTGGTCACTGCATCTGTGAAAACAAAATGAGATCAATTTCTATTTTAATGTCCTTTCCAGGCACATCTTCTTGTGCTGGGTTGCATAAGTAGTGTGATTGTAGAACAGAGGGAATGAATCACATCTTTACATCACTTTGAAATCACATAACTGAACATGCATATTATAAGCCTCAAAAATATGTTGAAGAGATTTTATAAAAACATATAAAAATCTTAAAATACTGTGAAAGTCTAAATTCAGGCCAACAGAAACAGTAAAAGGTAAAGTTCGGGCTTCTGTTTCATTCTTACTGGGCAAAGGATAAGGAACTGAAGCAATTGGAGGCAGGAGAGTGAAATAGCAGTGCTATCCGTTTTGAGGTAAGGTAGATCTTTTGCACACTGTGCTCCCAGAAACATGAAAGAAACTGTCTCTTCCAAGTCAGCCTGCCCAGGTTTTAATTATGGGTATAATAGGGGTTTTTGATGTTGCAATTTTGAAGACTGAATTCTACTGTTCAGAGGGTAACCTATGACAGGAAAGTGAAGAAGCAGAAGAGGTTGTAAGATGGATTCAGACATATATTCCCTCACCACTGTGCCTTAAAGGGTGTGTAAGTGCAAGCAGATAATTCTGGCCCTTTTCAGCAATTTCTGCATTTATCCAGTTGCTCGAATACTTTCAGGACCTGGTTGCCTCCAGTTTAATGAGGTTTGCAGTTTTCTTCTTTCCCTTGTGGAATGTTGAAGAGGGAAATATTCTGCATAAGACCACTACTGCTTCATTCATATCTCTGTCTGTCTTTACAAGATTACTCTAGTCTTCCCTTTAATCCATGTCTCCATTAAGTCCTTTAGCTATAATTAGAACAAATCCCAGCAGCACAAACCACTTTTGAAAAAGATAGACACTGTGATAGATTCATTCAGTGTTTTGAAGAAGGCATTACCCTGGATAATTTAGAAACAAAACCCTAACTCCCCTATATGTAAAATTGTTTTTACTAGTCAAATCAGTGTCTACAGCAAGCTGTATTACTGGTAGTCAGTCTGGCTTCTAATTACAGAGTAGTCCAGGTCATCTGAGATCTCTTTGGGTTTTCTCCGAAATGACATGTATCTATTTGTGGTGTTTTATGTAATTTCCAAATCTATTGGAAAATAAAGTCTGAAAGGTGTTTACAAGTATATATCGCGTGAGAAGAACATCTTTCCTGTATCTGTCAAATCTGTAAAAAAAAAAAAAAAAAAAAGATTTGCTCATACATTCACACCATGTTCTCCAGCAATACCCAGGCATGTGCTGAATAAGCAGTTTTGGACACTGGACACAACACAGTTGTATTGACTCCGGACTCAAGACTCAACTAAGTAGTCCTGTTGAGCATCATAGCATGCTATCCTTATCAGAGAACTGTGTAGTGTGGTTATATTTCTCAAAGCTTTCTCAAAGCATCTCAGTCAATGTCTTGGTTTAAGCCAAGACAGGATTAATAGCGCACTGATGTTTTGGTTGTTGCTGAGTAATGGGAGTGTGCCTAGGGCCAGTGTCTATACATGATACAGTGATGTGCAGTCCCCCTTTTAGATTACTTATCACATTTTCTTTATTTCTCTAAGTAGGCAAGCTTTTGTTTTTACCCAACTAGCTGATGTCTTTACTGTTATAAAATATTTTGGATTTTAGAAAGGGTTCATTTGAGATTTAGTAATAGATGAACAAATATTTGTCAGGAGTTGAATTGAGAACATAAGAAGCTTCAAGCATATTCTGAGGGCAGTATCAAATGCAAGAAGCAACATCTGGCAAGTAAGTCCAACTCTGTTGTCACTTGACAAGTGTAAGAAAATGGCATAAGCAGATACAATGTGCCATGTAATCCTTGCAGTATTAGGACTCACTGCAGCGGGAGGGTTGTTCTGGAGCAAGGATGAGATGTTTTATTTGATAGGCTTCTGAATTTATAACAGTTTATATGATTATTAGCAGTGGTTTTAATAAGCACTGTAGCAATGTGTGAATTTAGTATGGATGTTTCCCCTAATGAAAACTATTCCTTCTTATTTTATTGTCAAATTGGGTTCTTACTGAACATTTTTCTTTAACATTTGGAGGATGAGTTTCTTTTAAAGGCCTCTTGAATTCTCTATGAAGTGATCTGTGCTTTTAAAAAACATATACATATGTTCATATTACATATGGAGAATATCAAATAATCAACTCTCTTATCACTGTTGACTTCCTTTCTGGGTTCACTTTTCTTGAAGTATGGATCTTTAAGTTGCAGCAGAATGCTATTACTCAAAATATAGTTGTCTGACCTGTTAGAAATAAGTTTAGATAACTAAGGCGAGGATAGAAGAGGATGGAAACATATGCATCCTATTCCCAAATTTCTCTGGTTTCAGTGTTTTTTTGGGGGGAAAGGGAGGTGAGAGCACAGTAGGGAGGGCTATATTCTGAGTTATATTCCTTGTTCATCCATGACAGTTGAGGAACCTGCCTTCTTTCACTATGCAGTGCATTGAAACTTCATGCTTTTGGAAGGGGAATGCCTGGGGCCTCTTTTGTTTTCTCTGTGTTGAGCTCTCACAAAACTGCAGAGAGGCCTTCTCAATCGGGGGAAAATGAAGACAGGATCAGTAAACCTGGATAGTCAGGGGGTTGGCACTGTACCTTTAAAAGACTGACATGGCAAATGGTGGAGCCTCCAGTCACTGCATGTATGCTGCATTGAAAACTAAATAAAAATCATAAAGGTCACAAAAGAGAGTAAGGAGAAGGGCTTGTTCCAGTCTTCCAAGTTGATGACATCCATTCTGAAGTGACATCTATTTTTGCCAGTGCTCTGCCTTTAGTTAATACAAATGCTGCTCCAAAAATAATGCCTCCCATTTT